TTTGGTGTCAGATTTTGTATGAAAGGGGGACTTTGTATGTTGAAACTGACCACCTAACCCACCCCAAACATCATTAGATTGTAAAATTATTTTAGAAATTGTTTGAAAATAACGTTTGATTTTGACTTCCTTTATAAAATATAAGAAATTAAGGCATTGTTCGGCAGAGTGGTTTTTGAGTGAAAAACTCAAGAAAATATAATTCGAGTTATAATTTTATTTCAAGTTTATGTTATTTTAAGTTTGAACTTGAGTTTAAACTCGAGTTTGGAACTAAAACTCGAGTTAAAGCTTCTCTTTCAACTCGAGTTCAGAAACTCGAACTCAAGTTAATGAACAATATTTTTTCTATTATTAAAAATGATATAACTTTTTCGTTTTAATTTTGATTGAGATGATTTTTTTTTCTATGCGTTAACAATGAAAAGACGAATAAAACTAGACCCATATACCCTATTAAAATTTTTCTATCAGCATTGAGTTTTTATTAAAATACTATCTAAATACAAATTCAAGTTAACTTATTCAAACACAAACTCAAAAAAGATTATTATCTCAAACCATAACTCAAATGTACACAACCAAACACAAACTCAAATTACAACTTCAATTCAAGTTATAACTCAAAATCTACACTCAAGTTACCTAATTTAAAAATATCAAAAGAACAAGTCCTAAACGATTAAAAGTCTATTTTTCTAATAAATTGGTTCTGATAAAGTAAGAGTCACTAACTCCATTTCATACAGAGCTACTCGATGTGGAGCCGATCAACTCTTAATTTAAGAGCTAATCAAGCACAACTCTAAATATATCGAAAGATACATTCTCTCTATGTAGTTCTTTTTAAGATTGATCAATCTATGATCCTAACCATTACAAAGTAACATTCCCTAAAACCATGCGTTTTAACAAGCAAATGATATTGTATTAATGCAATAGCTTAAGTTGGGAGCCACAAGCACGACCATAGATTAGGAGCATGCATGAACCGCGACTATGACAGAAAAGTGACCATGGTGCGCGTGAGTATTGTTGTGTAGGGTAAAATATTTTATTTATTTATACAATAAAAAAAGTCTCAAGTTATTTTATTTTTTGGATTGCATGTTCATGCACCAATTAAGGATGAGAAAAGAAAGATATGGCGTGCCCATATCATGAAAAATCGTTCTTACCGCTCCAAGTTATCAAACAAACACACAAAAAATGAAAGCATGTTTATTTTTTTTAGAGCAGAAAAAACCTTTTTACAACAAGATTTTTTAAACGTACAATTTTAATCGTTAAATATAATCAAAATCACATTAAAATAAAAAAAATTATACAGAATAAATAGTCTATTATATAAATTTAATAATTAAAAATATATTTTTTTACCCGGCTCTCTAGAAATCTACAAATATTGTGTCGGTAAGCCCTATATCTTTGTCGCGTTGACTTTAAGAAATTCTACTCTAGTCTAATAATCTTTCCCTTTCTAAAAAGCGGATAAGGTTGGTGGTCAGTGTTTTTCAAGAGCTAATGAAAGCTATGTACTCTTATCCGGTTTAAGTAACATTATTAGTACAATGAGAGGAGTTGGCTTAAGATGTGGCAAGAATACCAGATCTGACTCCTCCCTTATCCTATTGTCAAATGACAAAAAAATAATAAATAAAAAATAAAAAATAAAAAATAAAAAAAAGGTCACACAACAAAACTTTTTTTTTTTTCCTTAGAAAAAATAAAAGAAGAAAAGTTTTGGGTGTCCGTGAGTAGTTGAAGCATGCAATATTTGAATAGTAGTGAAAGTCTTTGTCACTAACTAGAATTGGGTGTTATTATTATTTGTTTATTTCATCAATTTGAGTTTTTAATTCCAGTTTTGTTACAGTTAAAAGCTCTCATAAAAAGTTATATTAAACTTTTTTGCCACAGTTAAAAGCTCTCATATAAAATCACATCTTAATTCAAAACTCGAATCGGCGAGACGAACTAAACCTATATGTTTATTTGAACCTTTTCTGATTATGTTAGAGCCTATCTCAGTAATAAGTTGGTAAATAGTGGAATTTTTGTAATAGTGTTGGTGTAGTGGTCAGGAAATGGTCCTTAGACCCAAGAGAGAGTGAAAAAAAAAAAAAAAAGAAGTCATGTAGTGGATCAGTGGAATTAGTGTATATAAAAGGAATATATTACTAGAGTTTTGAGTTAAATCTCTAGTTCATTGAACAAAGACTCATTTCTTTTTATCAGCTTCACATGGTTTGGATTGAGGAACCGGCAAAGGGTCTTCATTTTTGTGAAGTATTTGATAGCATTAGTGTGTGTATGTTTGTGTGTCTACATGTATAATATATATAAGGATTTATTACAAAAATTTCACATAAATTATGACTCGTCGTGTAACACTTTATCTTTTCGATTTTCAAAAAGTAATACATATTCTTTAGGAAATATGAATTGTTAACAAAAACGCTTTTTTTGTTAGTGCTTCTCATGGAATAGCCACATGTTACACAAATTTTAATTGTTGCTAAACAATTTAGGCACAATTACTCTTATATCCATAATTCTTAAATTTATATTTTTAAAAAAGTAAATTTTAATTTAATATGATAATAAATAAAATAAACAATAAATTTTTTTATTTCTCTTTTAATTAATTAATTACAAAAAAAGTCTTATATATAAAGTTTTAATTTATAATTTGTAGCATTTTTTCAAGAAAATGTAGGATTATAAAAATACCCTAAATTATGTAATATGAGCCACTTTTTTGTTAAAAAAAACTGATGGAAGGAGCATTTTTATTAACAATTCATAGATCGGAGGAACAGATCATGTTAAGTTTTAAAAATCGGAAGTAAAGTGTTATAAAGATAGTAGTTCATAAATTTTTTTTGTCATTAATCCTATATAATATATATATATATATGTCTCGTTTTTGCTTACATTTACATATTGGTTACTCTAAAACCGCAAGAGTGTAGATTATATAAACGTAAAAATTGAAAACCAACATACATTTTTTTTAGACGATTAAGATACAATTTTTGGTGTTTCTGGATTAAATATTGGCATGTAGATGTTACAGTGTACAATATTAATTATTCACTGCAAAATTATGCCCCATTAGAATTTTTGTATTAAGTAATTTCTTATCCTCTCACTCTCTCTTTTGTTCCTACATTATTTTGAGAAATATTTGAAGCAAACACACTCTGATTTTCACGAGGAAATCGTGCTTGAAAGACGTCGCATTTATTATCATTGGATTGCCATTTCAGGATCTAACAATTCTTTTTTCTTTCAGTGAAATGACACAACCTTTAAATGCACAATAATGTTGAGTTTTTTTTTTTGGGAATAATTTTGAGCTTTTTTTTTTCATGATTAAAAAAAAAAACATGTTTAGCTTTATAGGAAGAACAAATCCAGGGCCAGGGGTTTCGTAAAACCTCAAGAAACAATTTGATTTCAAGAGGCCCACGTTCACATCATCAATGGTACTACATGTTGAAGGATTAGACTTTTGAAATTTAAACAAAGAGAAAATACTCCTATGACCGTTTAGTTCGCTGATTCTGAGTTTTTAATTCAAGTTAAGATGTGACTTTGTGTGAGAGTTTTTTACTGTAACAAAAAAGTTAAAACGTGACTGTTTTTAAGAGTTTTTTACTGTAGCAAAACTCGAATCGGTGAAATGGACGGGATTTAAGTGTGTTTAAATCTAAAAATTTACTATTGATTAATACATTTTTAATTAATATAGTTATATGATTAGAAAACAATATTAATTAAGAATAAAATATAAAAATTTAGAACCACCCACTCTTAAGGATATTTTGTCTCCTCTATCCTTAAACAAATAGCATTGAAATTTCGATGGCCATAATGGGGTCCGTGGCAACCAATTTATGGGCCTTACGCTTCACCGTGAATATAACTCTGGGCCAGACGTATAAGCCCATTTACGTTACCAATAGGAAAGTTAAAGAGGGGATGAGATATATGTGCATGTGCTATTTGTATCAATAATGATTTAAATAAATTGATGTGGACATTGGGCTTGAATGTCACCAAATTGCCCTACATAAATAATATTTGCCTCCTTGCCGACGTATAGTTTCAACGAAAAATCACATGATTTCAAATATAAAAACACATGTTTTTATTTCTCTCATTTTTGAAAGTTAGAATCCTATTATCTAGGCAGCTCGTTTTGGTTGGCTGGTTACTAACGAAAAAGCATATTTAGCAAGCAAACCAGCAACTTGTAACACCTTTTTAACAACTTCAATGCAGTGCAACATTAGTGTGACAATTTTAAATTTTAATATTTGGGTAAGAAAATTACTAATGCAGTGTTTTTTTTTTTTTTCTATAAACTTTGACATATGCTATATTTGATACAAAATTCAGCATAAATACAACATATACTAAATCTTGACATTTGATTGCCATATATTAATGTATTGACCTTTTCGTTTAATTGTTATAATATTTATATTTTAGAATTAAAATATTATTTTACAAGCTTCAAACCTCAACAATTATGAGAAAAGATAGATATAACATTTGAAATAACAATATTTATCACAGCAAAAAATAGAAGGATGTACGGAATATGTTATTTTTGTACTCTCTAGTGACATTTGCATTCAAGATAGCTTGCAGCTTGGTTTCTAGCAAAACTCTACTCTCAATTTGATATTTTTAAATGTGAAGTGGTGTTAAAATGCATAAAGTTCACCTCAAAAAAAAAAAAAAAAGCATAAAGTTGGGATATTTCATTAATACCAATTTCTATTTGCAACACGAAAAGCTCTCGTACCAATTCTTGATGCCCCTTAATGACATAAAAAATAATGAATCTACCAATAGCCAGAAACGTAAATCGCAGAACAAAAAAAAAATGTTACTTTTTTTTTTTTTTTTTTTTTCAAGGTACTCGTAGAAGAACACTACATTTTTACATGCCTGCTAAAAAAAATATTCCCTCTTCAATAAACACCAAAAAGAAAAATAAGGGGAAAAAAGAAAAAAAAGAAAAAGAAGGGAAAAAAAAGAGGCTCTGCACCACGCGAATGACTGAGCTGCCGCACATCTCTTTTAACCACCATGAAAACAATGGTGGGTTTTTTACTATTTGCACAAAATCACATTTACACTTTCTACTTTTTTTTTTTTTTTTTTTTTCCACCAAAACTTAAACATGGTAGATCATCCCCACCTCCAAACTAGATGCATGAGGTATGCTTAGTGAAGAAGTGGCTGTTCTGCTATTCCTCCTCAAGAGCTCGTATCCATAGTCGATCGCAAACCTCCGCACTAAGCTTGATCCTTGCTTTGCTCTCATGTACGTGTTCCCTAGTATGTAAGCTATCCCTGCTTCCCTAGCCTCCATCAACTCCGCTAGTTCCTCCTTTGCGCCCACATTAATCTTCGGGCTCTCTGGCACGACGAACCTGACCCTTTTCTTTTGTTGGGTCACCGGTGGGGACATTATCTCCCTATGCTTGGATGTTCCAACTGTACACTCGTAGTCTTCACTGTCCTCCCTCAACCGAATCCCATCTGCATTGGCAGCAGACCTTGTCCCAACAACCGTCATTTGGCCATCTTCCTTTTCCATGTCTTCATTCAATTCAGCGTTCCCCGAGCGGATGAACTCTGCTATACTACATACTAGATCATTCTCAAACTCCACGGCATCCTTGTGGATGTCGCGATAGCCATATCGAACAATGCACCTGTACAACCTGTACTCTTTTGGTCCAATTTGACCCACCAGGAACCGTTCCTCGGGCTTCACACGTGGGACTGGGACAGATTTGATGCAGAGGAAAACTAGGACCTGGTGGAAGGCTGAAACATTGGTGACAAAATGGGAGAAGATTGCAGGGATTCCGGATACAAGTTCAGTGTGTATAATTCCAATACCGCGGACGCGTACAATGCCTAGGCTGGGGCCAAGGGTGAGTAGCCAGTTGAGGGAAACCTTGTTGTGCATTTCAAACTCGTATTTCTTGATTGTTCCATAGTGCCAAACATACATGATAATTAAGAATATGAATGAAAGGACGACCGGAACCCAAGCTCCTTCAAGGAACTTGATTAAAGAAGCAGAAAAATAGAGAGCTTCAATCGCGCCAAAAAAGACTACGAAGCAAATTGCCCAGAAGACGCTCCGGTTCCAGCACAAGACAATAACTAGAGACATTAAGCAGGTAGTGACCAGCATGACAGTTATAACTGCCAAACCTGCGCTACAGGAACCAGTGAGTAGAGGAAGTCAGCTGTTTTTCATTGCAAGCGAACGAGAGAGAGCAGATTACTAGATGCATCAGAAAACAATCAAACATTATACCTTATCAAGCAAGAAACATCAAATTCTATGTTCAATATTACACATGGCAAGTTCTATGTTAAATTTGTTCTGACTTCTCCAGTTTTATTATGACTAGACATATACCATCAGCCATTGATGAATCTCCCGTAGTACCAAAAAAAAAAAAGTCAAATAATTTGAAAAGACTAGCATACCTGATGCATTCCCCAAGCGTCGTGTGTCTCTGAAACCAATAGTAACAGCCAAGCATAGTATCATTAATATCCAATTGATCTCTGGTATGTAAATTTGACCATGGAATTTGGATGAGGTGTGGACAATTTTGACCCTAGGGAAGCAGCCAAGGGCGGAACATTGTTTAATGATCGAAAAAGTTCCGGTAATGATGGCCTGGCTTCCTACTACGGCAGCAAGCACAGCTATTATGAGAACGGGCCATCTTAGTTTTTCTGCAATGACAAATTTGGGGTGCTTTCGATTAGCTGAGAGATAAATATTTATCCGAACACGAATGAGAGTTGAGAAAAACAAGCTGAAGATTATTACCTGGTACAGACACATAAAATCCAATGTTATGATGATCTTTATCAAAATGGTGCCTAGACAGAAATGCTGCTTGGCCCATATATGCAAGAACTAAAGCCGGATAAACCATGGAAGTGAAAGCAATCTGCAGAGAACAGAAATACTCGTTAGAGAAGCAGATATTATTAGCCTAATTTAAACCACAGAAGGACAAGTGTAAGCAATTCGGATGTGCTTTGATTGGTAACTTGTTATATTCTCCCTAAAGCATAAAAGAAAGTTTTCTTAAAAGTGTAGAACAAACTCCTTAAAAGCGGAATGATTAGATTCTTCAGGTGGTTCAACCGTCAATTAGTATCTATAATTTGAGAATAAGAACAAAACCTAAGATTTTTTTATTTCTTGGGAATTTTTGACCAAATAAACCAATCATAATATGCAGTATGTGTAAATTATATACAACTTGCAATGAAAACTACAAAAAGTACTTGACATGAAACTGTGGCAAGAGAATAAGACAGTGCATGGGAATAACAGATAAGGATGATGCAACTAGATCATATCTATATTGTATAGTTGGCATTGGGTTCTATTTAGGACCCTAATATGGGGACTCAAACCTCTGGTGAAATGATCTCTTGGGTTCAAAATAATATCTTAGGAGAACTAAACCACTGCCTAAACAAATATAACAATAACGAAATGAACTGCAAGACATGTACTTAAACTGCGCTTTTGCAAAATGTCTAAATCAAACATACCTTGATTGACAATTGTGAAAAGTGTCCAAGATCAGCAAACATAGCTTCTGAACCTGGAGAAATGAAAATGTGCGTTAGGAACTTCTTCAAACTCACCCACTCGTATTTAGTAAAACAGAACGCTGATACTGAAATCTAAAAAGCATTTACCTGTTATACACAATAAAATTCCACCTAGGGACATCCAACCTTCAGTTTGCGTTTTCTTCAAAAAATCATACATGTAATACGGGGAGAGTGCGCGGTACACATGATGGTTCCAGCGGAAAATGTTATAGACTCCGATGGCACTGATGCACAAAAGCCATGTCATGACTATGGGAGCAAACAAGAAGCCAACCTTGTGGGTGCCGTAATGTTGAAGCGAAAACAAGCAAATCAGTATGATACAAGCAATTGGGACTTCAACATCTGCAAAGTTTTATGAAACTCTTTTTAGAGATATTTAACACATAAGAATCTCTAGTATTGAAAGACAGATATAAATTAAAGAGTGACAGAATCTAACTGCTTATGCAAGCACATGCCACATGGTAGGATATAAGGAGGAAAAACACTAGAAACAAGCAAACTAGAGAATGAATAACAAAGTTTGACTTCTTTTTTTTCCTTCCCCACCTTATCTCCACTCTCTCCGGAGAAAGAAGAAGGAAGTATGGCGCTCTATCCGGTCAGTATAGCATTGCTTAAATGACCAATTTTGGTACTTGGTCTGGGAAATATTGAGGGAACATAATTGGGAAAACACAGAAAAAAAATAAATTAACTAAACAGTGTGAAACGATAGGAACTTATATTCGAATTTTTAATTCGAGTTGAGATGTGATTTTATGTGAGTATTTGTAATATATAGCAGAAAAGTTAGATGCGACTTTTTGTAAGAGCTTTTAACTGTAGCAAAATAAGAATTGAAAACTCAAATTAGTAAAATGAACGCCTATATACATTGAACAGTCCGACAAACAAAAATCAAAACTTTGTCGAAAACTCATAATTCCTACTAAAATCGAATCTCAATCAGCTCATATTTAGAAAGAAAAAAAAAACTTACATTTATGATGCTCTTTAGACATGGAAAGCTCAAGCCCAGAAACTGCAGAGAAAACTGCCCAATACAAATCCACCAACAACCAATCAACACAAAATCAGTGAAAACCAATCCAAACCCAAAAAAATAAAACTGACAACAATTAAATACAAAATACCCATTTTGCATCAATCAAAACACAAAAACCAGAAAAAAAAAGAAACCTGAAATAGCAGGCGTAAGAACACCATCACCAATGACCATGCAAGTCCCAATCAAAGCAAGAACCAGAAGCAGCCTCTGCAACACGCCGTGCCTCTCCAGCGCCGCCCTGATCCTCGGCCCAATCCCGGATTTCCTCGGCGCCGATGCCGATAACAACGAAGAATCCTTCTTGTCCCTGTAGTCGGAGAGCTCCTCATCCGCCACCTGGCAATTGGGGAGCGAGCTGACTCGGGCGTGTCGACACAGCAGCGAGTAGAGTGCGAAAGTCCCTCCCTCGCCATTGTCGTTGGCCTGGAGAACTATGAAGACGTATTTGAGAAGAGGGACCAAAGTCAGAGTCCAGAACACGAACGACAACACGCCGTAAATCTCCTCGTTCGTGTCCGAGTGCGCTATGTCCTTCGCGAATGTGCTTTTGTAGACGTATAAAGGTGAAGTACTCAAATCTCCGTATACAACTCCCAGGCTCTGAAACGCCAGGCTCAGAATTGTCCTCCATGATTTTTTCTGTCAAAAACAAAAAAGTTTCAGAAGAGCTTTAGAAAAAGAAGAACAACATAAGTTTTTTTTTTTTTCCTTCATATAACTGACCTTATTAGCTTGGTTTTGATATGACCCACTTTCCAGATCCATGGTTTCGTTTTGTTTGTCTCAGTGATTCGGGGAAAAAGCCATTGTTGCTATATAACAAAGAAAACCCATTTGCACAGAGAAAGAACAAGGATTTTTTTTTTTTTAATTCAAAAGAGTGAACTTTCCAAATCCATTATGGGTTGCCCTGGCTTGCAAATTTTTTTTTTTTTTTTTTTTTAAAAAACTAACTCTTTCAACACTTAAGAAGACCCATGAACATTATATAATAATACACGAAATCAACATGGTAGTTGTTTTTTTTTTCTTTCTTTAAATAGGAGAGTTAGAGAGAAGGGTATAATTAAATCTATTTACTTTATTTGTTTAAGTGTTTGATTTAAAAATATAATGAATGTGTACAGCAGTTGAACGACCATGAATGGAAAGACCAAACACGAAAAAGCCAAGCCCAGAGATGAAAGGAAGAGAAAAAACTATATGAGAATGAAAGAGAGTTATTATTATAATAAAAGAGGAGTATAAGAATGGAAAATATCAGTGAGAGAGTGAAGAGAGAGAGAGAGAGAGAGAGAGAGTGAAGAGAGAGAGAGAAAGAGAGAGAGTTGTGGAAGTGGGCAAAACTGTGCACTGTAATTCAGCAGCTTAACGCGTAGTTGTGTTTTTGAGGCATCAAAAGTAACTAACTACCTATTTTTCTATCTACACGTTTTCACCATAACTAAACTAACTAATCCCTCAAAACTCAAAACTCAAATATTGAGAATTTTTGCTTCAACAAAAAAAAAAAAAAACAAAGGAGAATTTTGTGATAGAATTAGTGCTGGAACTTTGGACGGGCCGTCCGTGACCGTCTAAAAATACTGAGTTTTTGCCCGAGCCCAAACCTGACCCGCCCGAGCCCGAAAATACTCTTGAATCGGCCGCGGGCTTATAGTTGGCTACCCGAACCTGGCCGGGCCGTCCGAGCCCGCCTGAAATTTTTTTTTAATATTTTATAATTATTAAGTTAGTTTGTGTTAAAATTATATAAAAATCAAAATCAACATTCAACATACATTATTAACACAATTGAATAAATTAATCATGTATATTAATGATGTATATTAAATTCGTAAGTCATGATTGCCTCGTTAAAAATCTTACCAAAAAAACCAATTAGGATAAAAACTTGACAAGAAAAAAAGAGTGCAATTATTTTGTGACGAATTACAAATTTTACAAACTTACAAAGTTATACAATTACAAATACAATCTCAAAAGTAAATACATATTTACAAATTACAAATTTACAATTTAATTTGAAGCTGAAGGATCGTCTTCAAAATTAAATGTTAATCGATTAAATTCATCGATCCATTCTTAGCTTGCCGGCAAAATTGTATCTTGTAGACGTTGATCGGCCCGATTTCAATCTTTAATGCAAACCAAGGCTTCAACAAAATCCCTTTGTAATGCATTCCGGCGTTTCTCAAGTATTCTTCCTGTAGTACTGAAGGCTTGTTCAGATGAGATAGTGGAGACTGGGATCGAAAATATATCCATTGCCAATCAAGTTAGGATTGACCAAGTTAATGTCCGTGCCCTCCACCATTGAACTAAGTCAAACGATTCTGCTGTACTGTCGACTACTAAGCCTTCACTGAGGTACGCCATAAGCTCGTTAAAGTTGCCGCTGCCACTGCCACTTGTTGACGAAGATTCACTCCCAGCTTCTGTTTGAGTTGTTTTATTCTTCTTATTCAACCCGAAAACATTCAAGAATGAATGCGGGTTTTCGTCTTGTTGTTGCCGTACCTGTATTCTAGGAGGTACTCTAAACGTAATATCATATTTACTATAGATTGAATATATTTTTTCCTTTATTATTGGATATTGGTCCGAACAATTGATGCCTAAAAATTCACTTAAGTTTTCTAAACCACTTTCTAAACCTTCTAATTTTAATCTATGATAAAAAATAGTACATAAACCATACAATAAAGGCAACTTAGACCAATATTTTATAAATTTCTTTTCCATAGAATGTATAGGAACTGCTAAGATTGGGTCATCCCTATATTCGCTAAATAAAATACTAATTCGTAAAAGTTCTCCTAAAGCTAAAGGTGATGCTGGGTAATATGTTCCACTGAGTTTTAGAGTCACTTCATGAAACCTACCTAAAAATTGATACAAAATTTCGGCAATTTACCAATCATATGCGTCTATATATCATACTCTTACTTTTGCACACATATAGTTTGTTATAGCATCCTTATAGGGGATGCATTGTTGAAGCATTATGTAAGTTGAGTTCCATCTTATAGGCATATCTAACACTAGTGCTCTAGGAGGTATATTTAATGCTTGTAAGAACCTAAACAAATCTTCTTGCCTTTGGTTACTACCTTGAATCCATGCAAGACTATATCTAATTCTTTTAATGTGATTACCCATTTTTTTTAAACCGGATTTAACAATTAAATTAATTACGTGACATGCACAACGTTGGTGGAAAATAGTACCGTCACCGAATAAACTTAAATCATTTTCAAAGAACTCAATTACTTTTGTATTGGCACTAACATTATCTAATGTTACAGCCATTACTTTATCTCTTAATCTAAATTCGTCAATTACATTTAAAATGATATTATATATTAAATCCGCTTAAATCCGCACTATGTGATCCTATAACACATTTAAAACCTAATATTCTCTTATCTAAATCAAATCCTTTAAAGTAATGTCCGGTTACAGCTAAATAATCTTTATTGGCAACGGCATACCAAATATCTGCCGTTAACGCAACACACCAGCTAGTCGAGTGTGAAAGGTTTATTAATGCTTCTTTTTCTTTCTTAAATAATTTTAATAAATATTTTCTAAGAGTAGTTTTTGAAGTGAACTGTGCATTAGGATTATGTACAACCTTAATATATCGTTGCCAATTAGGATGTTCTACAAAACTAAGTAGTTGATCTAAAGCAGCTTTCATTTGTGCAACTTTCATACGATCTACTTGCGGATCGTATTTCTAAGTGGTTAGACCACCGGTTGTGCGATCAAAAGATAATTGTGTTTGGCGGAGTTCGGGTCTGCCGGATTGGCTAAGCTTTTGAAAACACTTTTCAGAGTGTCTTCTCAAGTGGGCGGTGCCGTGAATAATGTCACATTGTAATTTAGATAAACAATATTTACACTGAGCTATATGTTTAGTGTTACCTTCATTGTCGATCTCCTCAATTATGTCGAAGTAATCCCAAACTGTTGAGGTGTGCTTGCATTTCTTCCTAGAGGTTGCAACACTTGCAGACGCAGTTGCACTGGCACTCGCCGCTTCTCCACGCCCACCACCATTTCGACCACGACCTCCAGTACGTTCACCAGGGCTCGGATTAGTAGATTCTTGCGTAACAAATTCATTAGTGGGAAATTGTCCTTCTTTTACGTTGTGTTGGGCATCAACGGGAATACCACTATAACCAAAAGGATCCATTATAAAAAAATAAGAGCGATTTGATAGAGAGAGCTTTAGGATAATGTGATAGTTTTTAGAAAAATTATAATAGAGATTTGAGAGATTGATAGAGATTGAGAGAAATTGAGAGAGATTGAGATAGTTTGACTGAGAAAAATGTGTGGGGGATGAGGGTATTTATAGGGAAATTTTTAGGTTAAAAAATTGATTTTTTTTTTTCAAAAAATTCGGGGTGCAACAGCTAGTTTAGGGTTCGGCGGGTTCGGGCGGCAACGGTAAAAAAACTATTCGTTGGACGGGTTTTCGGACAATTCAGGCATCTCAGGCATTCGGGCAAAATTTGAGTTTGCAGGCTTATTTTCGGGTCGGGCACCAACGGTCAAAATTTTGGCCTTTCAGGCTTCGGGCGGGTCGGGCATTCAGGCTTCGACGGAAAAAAAAAAAAAAAAAAACTCCATTGGACGGCGGTTGATGGCACTACACGGCGGCAGGCTCCGACGTGGTGACCAAATTCGGGTTGCCCGAGCCCGAGCCCGAGCCCAAAAATGCAACTTTGGACAGGCCGGCATATGGGCCTGCCTGCCGAGCCCCAAAAATTTGGGCAGCGGGTCTGCCCGCCGGCCTAAAGTTCCACCACTAGATAGAATAGGGGAAAAAATATTTTATAAGTAGAATATTATTTTAACAAGTGAGGTAATTTATTGTTGAATTATCATATTGATAACTTGTCACATAATTTTTCTTCTTCTGACCCGCAAGAAAAATTTCGAAAGAAATAAAAGTACATATGTGAAAAAAAAGGAAAGCAATAATATACTTGTACCTATTTCAATTTGTTGCACATGTAGTTATTTTAAGTTTAGGAGATGTCACCATTTACATATTTTTTTTTGCATTATTTCAAAATTTTGATGGAATATTCGATAGATTGTTCCTTCATGTTTTATTATTTTACCACGTAATTTACCTAAAATTATAATGAAATATCGATTTTTATAATTCACATAGGTAAAATTAGCCCTTGATTTTAATATAATCTTATAACGATGAGTTTTTAGTGGCTGCGTTTTCATTAGTGGTTATCCGGTAGTAGAAATTTAATAATATGACGTGATAAAAATTTAATTTTATTAATTGCAATCCATTTTTTTAGTCAATTTATCAAATTTATTATAAAGTTAAAACATTAATACAAATGTACATAAAAGTTAGGTTGATATTTTTGGAAGATTTACTAACTAAAAGTGCATTAAAAAAATTACAAGATGAAATAAAATTCAGTTGGAATTAAAAAGCCAAAAAAAAAAAAAAGGAATTGAGGTCATGTGGCATTGTAGCAATTTTGATTATCATGCTGACTGAAAACCACAGTAAAATCACATAAAAATAAAATAGAAAAGGACCAAACTTTTGATAATAGTGAGTGTAATAGTATGACAAAGAGAAAGCAGCTTTCATTATGACTTTCTGTCGAGCTTATACTGTGAATAAGATTTGTGTTTGACCCAAGACATATCATATTACTAGATAGGCTATCACTTTTGCTAATATAAGCAATGGTTGATATTGAGAGCTCTTTTTGGGGACTAGAGAAAAGTAGACGCCCATGTTTTTCCCATTTGTCTGCCGTTCAAGTGGAATCTTGCCATAATCATTCCAAGTTTTTGAGAAGAGTCTGGATACTCTATTGGCAGACTAGCATAAGATTTCCTAACAAAATTGAATGGAGCATGTTAGTTTATCAATTCATCTCAAAAGTCTTATTAGTTTAAATTTTTGAGATAGATTGATAAACTAACATAGTATCAGAGCGAGAGATTCTGAGTAAATTAATTGAAAAGACTAACACGTGAATATTTAAGTCTGAGATATATTAAAGACTTAATACATGATGACAATTTAAATATGGATAAAAAGTGTAATTACGAGACACGTGAGGAGGAGTATTAAAAGTATAAAATTATTGTCGGCCCACCTCTTAACAACTTAAGTTTTTGAGATGGATTGGTAAACTAACACTACGGTTGGATTTTATATCGATGATGTCTTGCTGTTGAATTTAATTAAAATTACATCAAAATTTTTTAAAAAATTACATGATAGCCAGTTTTGATACAG